TCTCAGATATCAATGCAAATATTTTAGATAAATAAACAGATGTATTAATAGTTTCTAATATCTAGGTTACCAAGTGCGTGTTAATAGTTTTCAGTATTGTAATATTTAGGTCAATTTAGAACTACTTTTATTTTTCTATGATACAGAAATATTTTTGCTAAATTAGAAATCGTTTTAATATTAATTACCAAAATTACGTTATTATGTACTAACGACTGTTTTTATTGTTGCACTTTCTCTATGGCAATTAAAAAACTAAGTATCAGACAATAAAATATGTAAATACACTTTTTAATTTCCACTTGAGTTACATGCCAACCAAAGATGTAATATACCTACTAAGGATGGGACATGTTGATATTTTTTAATGTAGCTGATCAACGATGGAACTGACGTCAAAATATCGGCTACAATGTCCGACTTAAATTAGACAGGTTATAAATTAATGTGAATGTAGTTATCCCTCATGTTTTAATGTTAAACGGGTAACATTATATGGTAAGGCGATAATTTAAATGTTTTATATGTTTTTATGTTATATGGAATGGAAATATTGGAAACCATCAAGAGACGAAAACTGCAATACCTGGGGCATGTTATGCGTACTGAAAACATTCAGAAGGAAACATGGGTAGACTACCTTCGACTCTAGTTGCTAAAGGTGATGATAATAAACCACCAACACCAGAGGTGACGACAAACGAAGAAATAAATATTGAGAAGGAAGACGTAATCGAAACAATAAGGAAGTAAAAAAAAATAAAAAATCACCAGGAAAGGACAGAATACACAGAGGAAGATCATACACCGACGCTATATTTATAATGAGGCAAGTGAAAGAGAAATCATTAATCATTAGAATACAACAAACCGGCATATCTATGTTTCGTGGACCTTAAGAAGGCATATGACCGGGTCAAATTAAAAGACGTTATCCACTTATTGTACGCAAGAGAGGAAGGAAAATATCTATGGAAGAAAATGGAAGAAAAACAACTTAAAATAATCAGCTATGTAAACGACGCAATACTACTGTCTCAAAGTGAAATAATTTACCACATATGCTGCACCAATTTAATGTAACTGCCAGAAAACGTAACATGTTAATTTCCCCAAAAAAGACAAAATGCATGGTTACAACAGCAAACTGACTAAGATGTAAATTGGAGCTGGAAGGTCAGATAATAGAACAAGTGATGGAGTTTAAATATTTAGGCATCATATTATCTAGCTACGAAAGCTCGAAACTGAAGTGGAAGATCAAATGAATAGAGCAAACAGAGCCGCAGGCTGCCTAAATGAAACAATATAGAGAAATAAAAATATCGGGAAAGAAATGAAAGGCAGACTTTACAAAACAGTCATCTGACCAATAATGACATATGCGGCAGAAACAAGACCTCACAGAGAGGACAAAAAGGATGTTAGAAACAGCAGAGATGAAAACACTTAGAAAAATTGATGGTAAGACACTACGAGACAGAGCTAGAAGTACAGATATACGACGTAGATGCAAGGTGGAGAACATCAAGAACTGGGTAAGATATAGAAGAGTAGTAAAGACGACAAGAGACGTTCTTCAATAGGAAGACGATCAGTAGGCAGACCACGAGAGCGATGGAAAGACAACTTACTGGAGGGCACATTAAAAAACAGACAGTCATGTCTATATATAAAGAAGAAGAAGAAGAGGAAGAAAATCTAGTCTTGCTACTCCACTACATTTTTTGTCTTAAATTTAAAGCCTAGCTTGAACCCATGCTTTACTTATTTATTAATTTGCGAGTATATTTTTTATGGTTTTCAAATGGGAGTAGGGGGACGGCGTTAAAAACGTATTTCGGGCGAGAGTTAAGTTCGCTATGCCACTGATATACAAAAACCAACTTGGTGTTTATCAAAACTGTTAACATATTTAGAGAGTCAGATGTAACCGGAAACAGTCTCTAGGGATTTTTTAAAATCCTATGACCACGTTTGACATGATTTGCTGCTTGCAAAACTTGTCATATGGATTTACTCACGTAAACAAACTCACAACTTGCCTGCTTACGTATCCCGAGGGGCATGTGTATAGTATTTGTACGTCGTTTTAAGTGTAACAAATAGCTATCTAACAGTAGCTACTAATGCCGGTAATATGAGACATGCCCCCGGAGACACGTGCCGCACATAAACAAAAATTTATTGTTACTATGCGTCACAGACCCCGGGAGGCATGTGCCATTGCCATTCTTTTTAACTTGTTGGTGAGAAGAGTACTTGTTAAAATGCCTAAAAGGGTAAGATATATGGTTGATATAGGGAAACAAAAGGTGATAGAAATTGCAAATAAGCACACAATCAGTGATCATAAAAACTTTGGAGAGAGTTCTGAAACAAATACTATTTTAAATGAATTACATTCAGGGTTGATTAAAAGTCATAAAAATCGAGACCGCTTTTTGCTTTTAGTGAAACTTCTTCATTTGAAAATAATGAGACATCTGATACCACTAATAGATTAGTATGCAAAATAGAAAATTTAGTTACGAAGTTGATTCGAAATTTTCAAAGAATAATGGAGCCTGGCAACATTGTCGTTATAAATGAATCTATGGCACCTTTCAGAGGGAGACTCCAAGAATTATATCTTAAAAATGGAACAATAAAACAAAGTTTTTTTTTTAATTAGTTTGATGGCCTTGGCCGAGCCAATTAGCCAGACAAATTTAAAGACAAACAATTTTAACAATCAGAGGAATAAACATACAATCATCCGTACAATCTAACGTGCAATTTTTAATAAATTACAACTTTTTTTTTTCCTGCGCTAAGACATAACTTGATTCAACATCTCGGAGGTTTACATCTTCCTTTTTATTTTTTAATTCTTTTTTTTTTATTAATTTTTTTTTATATATATATATTTTTTTCTTCTATAATACAATATTTACTTATATATAAGGGTTAGTTTTAAGCTACAATTTATATTTACAGTTCTTGATATGTTCGTAAATCGTTTTTAATATATTGATATCTCTAGAGAAAATCAAATTGTTTAGGTAGACGGGAAGTGGAATTTTTAATATAATAAGATTATCATAAAATTTGTTTATGTTTACTGATTCGTGGGAACATTCAAGGAAAATATGTAATAGGTTACCTTCTTTTCCGCACTTGCAATTAGGTGACTCCGCGAGACCCAACCCAAGTACATATGAAGGGGGGTAAGAGCATGATTAGATCTTAATCTGTTTATAACCCTTATGAAATGGCGGTTTGATAGAGTATGAATCCATCTTTTTATGGGTATTTCAGGCTGCATTTGTTTGTAATTATTTCCAGTTCTCGTGTTTTGATAATATGTTTGCCATTTTTCTTTTTGATGCCGTTTACTAATTATATCAATGTCTGAAATGGGGAGTAAGTTCAAGGGGGCTTCCTCGCCTATGTCTAGGGCGGATTTGGCTAGGCTATCTGCTATTTCATTGCCCTTAATGACCGCGTGTCCCTTTATCCATGAGATAATAATATTTTTCCCTAAATTTGTAATTTTATTGTAAATAGTCATAATTTCTAGTTCTATATGATTTAGTTGTTTGGACCTATGTACGTTTGTTAGTCTGTCGACGACACTCTTCTGTCTGTAAATATTATGCAGTTGTAGGGTTCGTTACTATGTATATGCCTTAATGCAAGAAGAATCGCTGTCATTTCAGCAGTGTCTATCGATGATTCAGCTGGCAATTTCAATAATTTTTTAAATCCACATTGAGTATTAATTAATGCACATCCTACTTTGTTTTGTACTTTAGATCCGTCTGTAAAGTAAAACTGATAATTTGGCCATTTATGCCGTGTAAATGATTGAAAAGCGACTGGATTTAAATTACCCTCCATAAAAAAGGTATTAATATGTTTTGAGAAAAGCTCTTCTAATATATGGGAATATATAGGTGAAACTTGGTTTTCATACGTACAGAAAGTATGTCGGTATTGAGATATCCTCAAGTAACTATTTACCAGAAGAGAACATTTTTTCTTTGTCCAATATTTATGAGTTAGATCTAAAATTGATAAACTATGAATATCCTGTAGATAGTTAGTATTTTTCCCTATGGCTCTAGTAATGAATTTATCACTTAAAAACTCCCGTCGAAATTTCAGAGGTGGTTCTATCGCCTCAACTTCCAGTATATTAACAGGTGTAAAAGTCAAATATCCAAGACAAAGCCGAAGGCATTAATTTTTTTGTATTTCTAATTTATTTAAATGTGTGTTTGCGGCAGTTCCATACAAATGACAACTGTAATCGAAAATGGGACGAATCATTGTGCGGTAAAATAAAAGTGCTACATTTGGATCAATAAAACAATGATTTGAATAAAACAAAGTAATCAAAATAAATTTTTGAATTGGATTGGAAGTAAAATTATAAGGAAATACTAGAGTACCGATACAACGTGGAGTACGTCAGGGGGACAGCATATCGCCGAAACTGTTCACTACGCTTTTGGAATATATATGTAAAAAGGCAAAACTGACCAACAAGGCCATAAACATAAACAGAGAAAAGCTTAGCCATCTCAGGTTTGTAGATGATATTGTACTAATAGCTGATAGGATAGATGAGGGCAAAGAACTTTTAAATCTACCTTTCCTCACTAGAAGGGGGATTGAAAATAAATTATGAGGGAGATCTATGTCCAGAAGTGGATAAGCGAAGATTGAATGATGATGACTAGAGTACTACAATTAATAATTTAAAAAACTCGTAACAAGAAATGCATGATATGAACAAGATTTTAATATAGGTATTAAATCAGATTAGTAGTGACCAGAAATTTGCTTTTGAATTGTCAAATAATTAAAAACAAAACAGTATATTATTAGAACAAACAAGAGATTAGTGTATCTTTTATTTTTGTATCTCACTGATTATAAATAAAAATAGCAAGAAAATAAAAAGGACTATTTAAAGGCAGTTTCTTATAAATTATAATGTATCATATACTTACTGTAGCTATGCGATTTTCCCAAAGATGCACATTTTGAAACACATATTCATTTAAAGAACACTTGGGTATTTCCGCGGTGTCGGGAGTTGTAATAATCCCACTGGAATTTGAGTCAGTAGCAAAACCATTTGTCACCGCTTTGGGGTTAAATTTCGGCACAAAAAGCCGTTTGTATAGCACTCTCCTTAAAACCGACATCGAAAAGTAACCCGCACCGTTCACAGCAAAAGGACAGCAACTACTACCTGACTGGGGGATTTGATTGTGTTTGTGATAGTTTAATATTTATTTATGAGGTTTAAGTTTGAAATACATGCTGCGGGAGTTTAAAACCGAGCAGAGATGGGCCGGCCTATCTAAAAATAACTGGTACAGGCGGAAGAATGGACACATGTTCACACGAATGAATGTCATTTGAATAATAATAGATAGAACCTATATTACCACGAGAAGTTATTTTGAAGTTTAGCAAATGTTTTTTTCTGATCGATTTTATGAGGTGAAAACAATTCCATCAACCATTTTTTCGTACATATACAATTATACATAGCAACTTTAAGCTTGTTTATGATTTCTAAACCAATATTAATCAATTTTAATGAAAATATTATTGTTAAAGTTGTATATTTGTTATACAAATCAAATAAGAGTAGGCATATAGTTTTTAAATAAAACAGAAAAAAATTAATAAGTGATATTTTTTAAATTTTTTATTTTGTTTTCCCAATTAATTTTTTCTTCTTCTTCTTCCTTCTTGCCCAGACAGCACAAGTACGTCCCATGGACGTCCGAAGGATGTATCTCATTAAATGTCCGGATATCCCACGGACATCCATTTACATAATTTGGACGCCCCGGAACGTCAAATAAGACCTAAATGTTACCAAAAAGTACGTCGCTTGGACATCCCAGGGATGTTCATGGGGACGTACATAGTACATATACAGAACTTAATACGTACTTATATAGGACCTAAGAAGGATGTATTGGGGACATCAATTGTACGTCCACATACTCTAATACAGGACCTAAATGAGGATGTATACAGGACCTAAAGGGAACTTAGAAAAAACATAAAATGAAAAGCAAAAATAAATGGGATTTTTATTGTGTACTTATATTAACATATATTATGTATTTAAATTTATAGTATTTTTTTAAGCACATTACTCATACTTACTTTACAAATGTAAATTCACACCACAACCACAAAAATTACCTATAAAATTCCTATATACCTACTTAATGTCTATAATACTAAATTACCAAACTATAAACTAATACGATATACGATAGAGTCAGATTTAGGTACTTGTTCTAACGAAAATTCGTTCTTGGAGGAGAAATATTTGTTAACATCTGTTTTATTAAAAAATGATTATCCTTTATCGTTTATAAATAAGGAATTTTCAACAATCGATCGAATAGAACAGAACAACTTAGAACGAGATCCTACAGCATACATAAGGAATAATATGAGGAAAATAACAATACCGAACATAAAAGGATTATCAGAAAAACTTAAAAGGATAGGAAATAAATTCAACATTTCAACAACATACAAAACAACAAATACGTTGAGATCTATTTTGTCCAAAACCAAACCTAACAATGAACAAGAAAGGACAAAGAATTGCATTTATAAAATACCTTGTGAATGCGATCAGTTTTATTTAGGTGAATTATCAAGGCCATTAAATGTTAGAATAAGTGAACATCAATCTTATATTAAAAATAGAGAATTTGATAGATCTCAAATATGTAAACACGCATGGGATAATGAACATAGGGTTTAATGGAATAATTCAAATGTAGTCCTAAAAGAAACGGATGGTAAAAAAAGAAAAATCAAAGAAGCGGCTCTAATTATGCTAAATGAGGCCAATTGTGTCGCAAATTCCTCGGCAGAATGTAGTAGGATCTGGTTACCAATATTGAAAGAGGAAGTTATTAATAAGAAAATACCAGTATTAGTAAGTCAGTAACATATAGAGGATACATCATTTATGTTTTTTAAATAACGTAACATATAAAATCAGAATTTTGATGTTTGTTGAAGGTAAACTAAATTCACGAACAAATACTTACAATGTCGGGATAGTATTATGAGGTTTTTTTTCCTGGTTTTTCCCTTATAATTTACTATGGAATCAGTAACAGGAGAATTTTACTGTCATCATGTCATGTGTTTGTCTTTTTAAAGACGAATTACATGCTATGATTTTTTTCTGACGGATATTCTCAAGTTAAAGTTGATTTCATGTAATCGAATGAACTATCTTATAAGTAAAGTCGTCCCAGGAGCGCAACTCAACAATATTGGCAATATCATTTTAAAGTCGTCTACTTTAAAATGCATAATGTATGTCTGAATTGTCAATATAAATGAGTCAGATAAAATTAAATTATTAGAAGAATTTTTCACTATGTAACAAAAAACAAAATTTGTTTAATTTACTGTTTGTATTTTGAGAACGATTTCCGAAGTGGAAATTGAAACGTCAATAAACGTATTTTTATCTTTAATTGTGGCTTATTCCCAGCTAAATAGTAATTTATAAACTAATAGTATCAAAAGCAATAAACTAATTCTAATTTCAACCACAATGTAATTCGAGAAATAAAAGATTCGTTATACAATAAAATAGAAGCGTCGTTAAAACATAACCACATTCTTCTGTCATCTTATAATTTTTAAACTTCAGTTCCACTACAGAACAAAATTTTAGAGATACAGCTTTGCTATAGGATAAGGATTTTTCTCTAAAAGGGGCCTCTGTCTGTTTTCGTATAAATTAATGGTATTTAAAACTAAATATAACTTTAAAATAAAGTTTAGTAGAAAGATATTATATTTTGTAAAAAATATGCTTAAGTGAAAAAATGACACAGTTAACATCTAGAAAACATCCCAAATGGGACGTCCCTGGTATGTCCGACTAGAAATATCTCTTGGACGTCCCTCGGACCTCCAAAAGAAGTCCCGGGACGTTTGGACCTTAAAATGACATAAAATGAACGTCCCAGGGATGTCTTGTGCTGTCTGGGTGTATATAGGCTTTAAGCTCTGTTTCTTCTTCAATATTCTTCTTCTTCAAGTGCCCTGTCCACTGCGAACGTTGACTATTAACATTGCAATTCTGATCTTGTTTGCGGAGCTTCGACCGCACGTGAGCGAATAGTTCGACCAATGTGAGCCCGAACCACTTCCGCAGATTTCAGAGCCACGAGTGTCTTCTCCTGCTTAGCCCTCGCTTACTGTCTATTTTCCCCTGGACAATCAATTGCAGTAGACGATACTTATCGTGTCTCAATATGTGGCCTAGATATTCAAGCTTTCTTTGTTTAATTGTGCTCACGATTCTTTCTCCTTTCCGATTCTTTGGGTTACCTCTATGTTAGTGACATGTTCGGTCCAGGATATACGAAGAATGCGTCGGTACACCCACATTTCGAATCCTTCTAGTTTTTTCGTCTCTGAGCGTCTCTGTCAATGTCCAGGCCTCCTCACCATATAGTAAGATCGGAAAAATGTAGCATTTAACTAGACGTAGTTTTAGGGGAAAAGACAAATCCTTGCTTATGAGGAGCTTTGTCATTTTGTTAAATGCTGCACTAGCTCGTTCTATTCTCGCCTTAATTTCTGTGGCCTGTTACCATTTTGCATTTACGTTGGTGCCAAGGTACACATAAGATTCTACATAGTCAATTAATTAATGAATAAACTCTTTCCATTACCTGCTGTAATTCTGCTATCGTACTGGCAAGGATCCCGTGTCGTCGGCATATCTTATATTAACTTTGAAAATAAGGCTATTATCGAGCACAAGTTAATTAAATCTAGCCCAAGTACTTTCGCTTAAAATAGCATCTTCAGGGGCATTTCGTCAAAATGTAAACTATCCGGCAAGCGTAGAATGTGGAAACATTAAAAAAGACATAAAATTATACAAAACACTACATCTAAAACGAGGACAAACAGTTTAAAATTACTTAAAGATTTTTCATGCGCTGCCTCTGTCGTTCCGATTTGGGTGAGCGCCGGCTGATGTTCCAGCGCAGCACCTTCAGCAAGTCGAGTTCTTGCTATTGTTTGGCTCGCTTGTGGTTGTTCTTGCTGTTGTTGGGCTGTAGCTGATTGTATGAAAGGGACCCGCCTCCTCAGCACCCTGCCTCCGACGTCCCGTATGCTTTGTCGAGAACTAATCTGTTATGATGATTTTTATTTTTTTGCTCCCCCAAAGGGGATCTATAAATATTTCACTAATTAAGCTGTCGATATCCATGCCGGCCACCTCTGATAAACGCAAAGAAAATAGACGGAAAAATTATCGGCGCTCTTACCGTTGCTCGACTCTTATCGGCATATAAAATAATGACATAATTTTCTTTGCTTCGCTGTGGTATCGCCGCTCTTATCGTTTATCGCAGCTCCAACATAAACGTACCCTTAGGTATATCCTACAATGCGGTGTTCTAGAACTGTTTAAATGACACGAAAATTTTTAAATTTCATAGTAAACATCCCAAACATAATTATGATTTTTAAATAAAAATTACCATATATAACAATACATATCATTAACATTAGTCTTATAACTTTGAAAATGCTCTCCTGGAAAATTAAACAAAACTAGCATTCCTACTTTTTCCCTGTACCCTCCAAATAACCTGAACGAAATATAACTCGACGATGATATATTCAGAATAATAATAAAATAATTCTAGTATCAAAAATACTGTAATTAAATATGCTTATTTACTTTACCTAACCAACAATAAGTCAATAAGTGATACAGTAACTACTAAAATAATAAAATTATTGACTACAAATAATAAATAACTAACTGATCGGTATTTTTTTAACTGATCGCAA